TGTCACAGTGAGCTTGGGGAAGTCCCTTAATTTACAGGAGTTTAATGATTATGCATTGAGTGTACACGTATGTCATGTGCTTTTCTGTAGATAAAAAAAGCTCAGTAGAAAGAGAACTAACCCTCAGACACTGGGCTCAGGGAGCCAAAGTGCCCCTGGTGGCTCAGGAACCCGCACCTGGGCTAGGAGAGGCTTAGCGGGGTGGAGGAAGGGGCCTCTGGCGTGCTCCCCAGGTGACCCTGCCTGGCCCAAATGACAATAATTGTTAATGGCAATACCGTTGTATTGTCTCCACAGCAAAAGCCTCCGTCCTGGCAGACCATGCCTGGGAGGGTCCACTGCTCCGAGGGCCCCTTGCAGCCTGTCCCCACCTGGGTCCCTCGCAGGAGCTGCCGCCTCCTGCTTTCTGACAGCTGCTCCTAGGAGGGCCACCAGGCTCCTCCGGGCTTGCTGGCACAGCAACCACTTTAGACTAAAATGTGCCATCAAAAGAGTGGACTCTCACTGTCTCTGCTACAACCGACGTCCCCGCGGAAGAGCTGAGGACAATCACAGCGAGGATGCGTTTCCCTGGGGCTGCCGGCGCCCGCGGAGGCTGGGGACACTAGGGGGCGCGAGGGGCCTGGATCCGTCCCCGCGCAGGCTGCCGCGGCCGCCGGCTCCTCGCAGAGCCAGGCTCCGGCTTGGACAGGAGCGGCCACAGTGCGTAGACAGAAAGCTGTCGCCGAGCTCTGATTGCAGGGCTTGGAAATGCGGCCGTTCCCCAGCGCCCCTTTCCAGCCTCAGAGGCTATTGCAGGCCCGCTGCACCCAGAGCCTCAAGGGGGCGCGTGGGAGGGGAACCTGGGACTGACACCGGGGGGGCGGGGGCGGGGGGGGGGCAGAGCAGGTACCCAGGGCGGGGGCCGGATGTCAAGGGCAAGGTGCTGCGCTGGCCACATCTGAGGATAACTGAACAAAGTGGAATAAGATGGATCATATTCCCCCACCCCAAATGTTGATTTTGTGTGGTGTACTTTCTATTCATTGCCGTTTTATGGATAGTGCGCATTGGATTAGAACTTCCCTGTGCTCTCCAAAAAGCAGACAGTTGTATTATTAGTATTTTTAGTGTTTTCTACACCACAGGCGAATTCCTGAAGCGTGTGGGTAGAATCCAGTTTTAGAAAACGCAGCCACAACACAGCAGGGTCCAGGGAGGCCCCGGTCTACCTGCAGGCTCAGCAGCACCGGGTTCAGCGATTTTCTCATCTGTTCTTTTGGATTGTATCTGGAAATCAGTCCGCGACTCGCAGGTCTGCGGCCAAGCCATCAGACAACACAGGGGAGGGAAAAGCCTCGTGCCCGGCTGCTGGGGGTGGCATTCTGTGACACTTCACTGGAATAATGAGTAGTACAGGTTGTCCCCAAGGTCTCTGCGCAGTTTCAAGCCACAAGGAACTCCAAAGTGCACTGAAACTTGGGTCGCCTGAAATATTAAGGGTAGAAAGAGCAGAGACCTTGGGGCTGATGGTGGGGGTGTTCACGTCCTGTTGTACGTCACTCTTAAGTTCTAATCCTGGCTGTCACTCAATGGCTGTGGGTCTTTACAAAAAAAAAAACAAAAAACCCAAAACAAAAAACAAACCAAAAAACCAAAAACCCCTTTAGTCTTTATGCCACCCAGGGCTGCAGGTGCCTCGTGCTGAAAGTGGCATTAGTTCCTTAGATGAACTCCAGGGTCTCTGTCAGGGGCCATGAAATTACCAGGTGAGGTCTCCTGCGCGTTAAGCATCTGAAGCAGTCCAGCGAAGGGGGTTGGTGAGCAATGGTAAATCATGCCTGGAAAGATTTGGGCTTCGCTGTTAACCACTTGATGACTTTGTCCTGGTTCCTCCCACCTCTAACCCCCAGCCCATGTTGAACAACACCCCATACAGACCTGGTCGCTATCGCTCCCCAGGCAGAGCCTGTCCCTCTCCAGGGAACCTATGAACGTGCACATGTCATGGCTGTGAGTCTGTCCCCTTCCCTTAGCCTCTCTCAGAGGGGGCTCTTGTGCCAAAGAATAGCTGGGCTCAGAGACATGGCAATTATTTTTCTCTGAAGAGCATCAAAATCCTGCTGCTAAGCGTAGAGGTGCTGGCCCCGGAGGACCTGGAGGTGAGCAAAGCCACTGGCTCACCATGAAGGAGGAAACGATCTGAAGCTCAGGCCCTTGAGGTGCAGGGGCCTCAACTGTTGCATTGTTGATACACGTCAGTGTGCTCCCCACAGTCTTCAAGACCCGTGGTGGTCGTGAATCAGACTTCTGCACATGGATACAGTCACAGCCATAGTAAGAGCGGCCATATTTTGAGCTCTTTCCATCAGTCAAGCACTGTCCTAGGCCCTTTACCTTATATAGGGAGGGCAAAAGTAGGGTTACAGTTGTGAGTATTCGGGTATTACTATTTATTAATTATTGTATGGTTTTCCATATGAACAACTGTAACCCTACTTTTGCCCATTCCCATATTATTGCAGACTAAGACCTTACGAAGTAGGTATCATTGTCCCATGTCATAGATGGGGAAGCTGAGGCTCAGGCATTCTTAGAAGCCACCTGAGGTTGCCCCATGTCAGAGTGGCAGAGCCAGTTCTTACAGCCCACAGAAGGACAGCAGAACAGCTCACAAAAATACATCCTTAAAAAGCTCCACTTTTGTGAAAGAGACAGGGCCAGTAGGTTCTGTGTGTGTGTGTGTGTGTGTGTGTGTGTGTAATTTCCGCCTCATCCCAAACAAGGTTTGTGGTGCTGAATCAAATGCACCCAAGGCTGGAGGCAGGAGCGTCAGTTCAGCAGCATAAACCCGAGTCAGGCATCCTGCCTGGGGGTGTGGGGGGGACACAGGGCTGAAGACACCAGTGACACCCTGGGAGCTTCAGGGAAGTCCACCAGACCTTGGGAGTGGAAGGGACAGTGTTTAAAAACGCTCCACTCTTCCAAATTGCAAGCACAGTGGGGAAAACACATGCTAAACCAGAATACAGGAAGCAGAAAGCAAGGTGTTCTTTTCAAAATTCCCTGATCTCAAGTGAAAGTGAGTTCAAACATCATTGTGAGCTTTCCGGTCCTGGGTCTTAGGGATCCATCTCTCCCACAGGGTGGGGCTCCTTGAACTCTTTAGTGACCTAAGCAGCGACCGTGCATGGGCAGCGGGCCTTCTCCTCGTGTCTCCTGCTTGGGGCTTCTGACGTCAGCTTTTTGAGGACCTACATGGGTCCCACTGGGGCCATTGGTTTAGCAGCATTTTCTAACCCACCCAGCTGACTTAGAGGTATCCCTCATCCCAGGGGAAGGCGGGGGGGGGGGTGGGTAGTGCTGGGGGAGGATCGTGTACTTTGGAGGACTTCCCCTCTGGCTTCTCCAGGTGCAAGATGTTCTCATAGGAAGTATGCACCTCCAGAATATGAAGCTGAACACCAAGCCAACAGGAGACCGTGGAATCATTTAGAGGGGCTGGGCCATCCCCAGGTGGGGGTAATGAAAACTGAGCCAGGGAAGCTAAGCGCTGGGCCTCTGCCACCCCGGGCAAGCCTGGACCAGTGCCTCTGAGCCCTGCCACGCTTGTCAGCACCGCTTCCTCCCACCGTTCAGCCAGCGCAATAGAAACCAATGTGGAGCAGAGCACACGGTTGTAGCTTCTGGTGTGCAGTCGGCAGAGCCAACCCTGCCACGTCTCTAAACTGGCTCCTCCTCCAGAGCTTACAGGCTTGGTCCTTTCAGCCAAGATGGGGAAGCGGGTGGCGGGTGAGGAGCAGCCCCACCACATCGCTCCCCGGAAGAGGGAATCAATCATTCCTTTGACAGAGAGGCAGAACCAATGGACGGTAAGACCTCCTGGGCTCTGCCCTCTGGCTGGGTGGTCTTTGGCAGGTGGGTGCTTTCTTGGGGCCTCCATTTCCCCTCCTGTGAGAACGCACCTTACAGGACTGATGGGAGGGTTAAGTGAATCGATACAGAGCACTTGGAACAGCATCTGGCACTTAGAGCTCAGTGAATGGCAGCGATGATGAGTATCCCAGCTATGAATTTATATATGGCAGTCCTATAGTCTTTGGATAAACTGACATAAAAATGTCATCTACAGGTATTAACTTCATTTTGTTGAGAGGAAATGGAAGTTCACAGAGGCTGCATGACTGTAACCCAGTCTTTGTGAACCCCTAGTTCAGTGTTCTTTACACGCCACCAAAATGCCTCCGCTAAGATTAATATATGTACATGCATGTGTATATAATATATGTATGTATTCACATATATATATGTATAGATATATAATGTATATATACAGCTGCCCCCCCTTACCCACGGTTTCGTTTTCTGTGGTTTCAGTTACCCACGGTCATTCATAGTCCAAAAACATTAAGTGGAAAATTCCAGGAATAAACAATTCATACGTGTTAAATTGTGCGTTCTCGGTAGTGTGATGAGCTCTCACGCGGTCCCTCGGAGTCCTGCCTCGGCACGCATCACGCCTCTGTCCAGCCCCCCTCGCTGCCTCGCTCCCTGCCCGCGAGCTCCTGGGCAGCCGCCGTGGCTGTCGGAGGGACTGCCCCCGTGCGCAGTGCCTGTGCCCAAGTCGCCCTTGTTTTACTTACTAAGCCACAGTCACATGACCCTCATTACAGTATATTGTTGGAATTGATCTGTTTTATTATGAGTCATTGTTGTTAATCTCTCACTGGGCCTAATTTATAAGTTAAACTTGCCTAGCATGTCTGTATAAGAAAAAACATAGTATATCCAGTACAGGTTTCAGTACTACCCACAGCTTCAGGCATCCGCTGGGGGTCTTGGGACATATCCCCTGCAGGTAAGGGAGGGCTACTGTGTGTGTGTGTGTGTGTGTGTGTGTGTACATACATAATACACACATGAGCATGACCTCTTTGCTCCCTTGGCTGCTAATCAAACATCCTCCGTTGTTTTATTATGTAAGAAATGGCTGTTTGCTCCCTGGGGTAAGCGCATCTCACCTTTGGAAGTCTGTACTTTCCTCTCAGATGAACTCGGAGGCACGCCCTCTCTGCCTTTTTTTGTGTAAATGCAGCGTCTCTTTCCATCCTAAAAGGAAAAGAGTAGCAGAAAGAATCAAAGGACAGAGAAAGCTCAGGGTGTTCCAGCCCCTGCTCAGAGGACCGGGCGCTGGGCTGCCCTGAGGCGTGGGGGACCGGGCGGGGAGCTACATTTCTAACAAGCCCCTGACCTGACCGATTCCTAATCCAGCTGAACTATGCAGAGCTGGGGGTGCTTTGGAGACACGTGGTACTTGAGGATATAATAGAAAGCTGCGTCCCTACCTAGCCACCCCCCTCTAGGGGGATTCCCTTCCCAGTTTGGAAGGAGGCACCCCAAACAAAGTGGGGTAGATTGTGAAGTGCTCTGAGGGCCCCTACCTGGGCTTGTGAGCATGCTGGTTTGAAATAAACTCCCTTGCTTGTGATCCCGACCGAAGCAGGCAGCTTTGGGGATGTTGGTAAAGCTCACAATACTGCCTTTCCCCCTGCGCAGCACCCCCAGGAGCGCATTACTGGGGGCTGAATTTGCACGTGCGGCCCTGCCCTGGGGCTGGTCTGGATTGCACCAAGCTGGGTAAATGACACTTCTGCTCTGGGAACTGGGGATTGGGACTGAGGAAGACAGAGACTCACAGGGTGGCTGGGGCAGTGACAGGTGGACATGGAGGCCATTGGCTGCGGTTTTCCAGGGGCCACGTGGTTTGGGTGACAGGTGGAGGAGAGAGCTCACTGCTGAGAAGGACGAGCAACCCTGCACGTGGAGACAGAAGCAACCACAGGGACGGAAAAACCGCTCGTGGCTTCGCAGCAGCTCTCTGGTTCCTGGGTTAGGCCCCGCTGGGGCCTCATGGGATTTCTTTCTGCTCAGGGCTTTGGTGAAGCATCTTTGCATGAAGCATTATTTGCATTAAGATAAACTCCCTGTTTTTATTTTTAGGTGGCTACACTGGTTTCTATTCTTGACTGCAAGTTTTGAAACCATCTTAACTACGACAAGGAAGGCCGACTGAAGGCAGGGCTGGATTGGAAGCACTGGGCTGAAGCTGCTCCTGCCCCGCCCCTGGGCTCAGGCCCTCCGTGAACTGCCTGCCCGCCACACAATGCCAGGCCTGGACCAGGCAGGCGGAACGGTGGTTCAACCTGCTAGTCTGGAGAGGGAAGCAGAGTAAGTGACTTACCCATGACATCAGTGACCTGTGGCATGGATAGAAGCAGGTCTTTTTCCCCCTCCCAATATTTTATTATGAAAAATGTCAAACATACAGAAAAGTTAAAGGAATTTTACAGGGGAACCCATACACTCACCCTCTAGATTCTACAATGAGCGTCTTACTACATGCGTTTTATCATGTATTTATCCCCCTCTAACCATGCATTTTTATCCATCTTATTTTTTGATGCATTTCAAAATTATGAAAATCAGTACTCTTTCCCCCACTTTAACATGCGTACCATCAATTACAGCTATGTATTTGTTTATAGTTTTATGATCTATCCATTATCTCTATCTATCTATCTATCTATCTATCTGTCTATCTATCTATCAATTATCATCTTGTCCTATTGATTCTGTTTCCGGGTGCAACCCAAACCCCCATTAGGATCAAAGAAACATCACTGTCACCTGAGTACATCCCCTCACCCCCCCCCCCCCCCCGCACAACCCCTAGCATTAGCCACTGTCTATGCACCATTGTAGATTGGTTTCACCTGTTCTAGAACCTCAAACAAATGTAACCGTACACTATGCATCCTTTTGTATAGGCCTTCTTTCAATCAGTGTAAAATACTTTTGAGGTTTATCCAGGTTCTCTATTTATCAGTAGTTAGTTCCTTTTTATGACTGAGCATATTCTCTGTATGAATATATCATGTTTGGTCATTCATTCTGTTGTTGGACAGTTTTGGGCTCCTGCAAATGACACTGCTATGAACATTTTTGTACAAGCCTTTTTGCGAGCAGGTATATTCCCTTCTCCTTCCTAGACATGGAATTACTAAGTGGTAGGGTAATTTGGCTGACTAAGTATAGTTTTATTAGAAACTGTCAGACCTTTTCCCAAGTGATTATACTATCTTACATATCAGTAACCAGAAGAATTCTAGTTATTCACATTCAGCCATTCTGGTATGTGTGCAATGGTACCTTCGTGTGATTTTAATTTTCATTTCCATGATGACTAATCATATCAGGCTTTTTTTTTCATGTACTAATTGGCTATTTGTGTGTCTTTGAAGTATTTGTTCAACTTTTTTCCTCATTTTTTTGTATTTTTACTATTGAGTTGTAGAAATTATATATTTTTGATCCCAGTTCTTCATCAGGTATATTTTGCAAATATATATTTGTGTCTTGCCTATTTATTTTCTTGATGGTGTCTTCCAATGCACAAGTTTTTAATTTTGATAACATCTAATTTGTCATTTAAAAATTTTATGGTTATTGCTTTTAGGGTCATGTTTAAGAAATCTTTGCTTCCTTCCAAGTTGCAAAGATGTCCTATGCTTTTTAAAAGTGCTTTATAATTTTAGCTTTTAGGTCTTGGCCTGTGATGCGTATCAGAGTTCAGGTTACAAACGGTGCTGTGGCAGTTGTACCACAGTGAAGGTAAAGGGGGCTTTAATATCATTGAGAGGCATGGAGGGATAAGCGGACTGCTGTGTTATTTAGACCTGTCCAAGTATTCTATTTAAGGGTAGACCTCTTTCAGTATTAATGTTATCAGTAATTTTTAAAAATCTGAACATAGAAGTAAAATAAGAAAGAATGAGCAGTGGAGTACATTGGTGAGTAGGTTTGGTTTACAATTACGGGGGTCAATCCACCCCTTTTTTTAAAGAGAGGAGGGCAGGTTCAGAAGGCTTCTATTTGCTAGTATTCATTTTAATGCTTATATATAATCTGATGTATATGTAAGCGTCATGTATATATATTCTGATGTATACTCTCTACATGTCACTTGTGATGAACCATTTTGATGCCTACTTCTTTATATTGTATTCTTGGTGAGGAAGCTCTTGAAAACTCAAGCAATGGATGAGAAGACATGCCTCTTGCCACGGGGAAGAAGGCTGGCCCCATTGTCTTGCTATTATTTTTTATATTAGGTGACTACATAAATTTATAATACACACACACACACACACACACACATACACAATGAGTAGTTGGCAAATAATCCCATCCACTGATTGACCATACCATTTGGGTGTTTTGTCTTTGATCTACACAGAAATAAAATTAAAGAAAACCAAGACATTAGTTAATCAAACAGATGCCATATCTGCCAACAGATTTATTCCTCAGACATATTAAATATTTTATAGGATTTAGTGTATGATCTAAATTTCTGCCCTTTTTCTTTTTATGAGCCCGCTTGAGCCAGTAACATTTAGTGCCATGTTTGTTCTACGTCTGTTTCCTCATTATACTTGATTTTTAACATGCCATAGGCAAAACTAGCCAATATCTAAGGAATGCTGCCTTTTTTTTTTTTTTTTTTTTTTTGCCAAAGTATTATCTTAAGCACCTACATCATGCTTGCGGTTGTATTTGCTTTTTTACACTGACTTTCCTTTACTGCTGAGCCAAGCCTAATACCATTGGAGGTAGTTTCTAAGCCATGCTTTCTTTCAGAAAAAAATACAATGGATAACATTTCCATTACAAGCAGGCCTTTGTACTTTCTTAGTTAGCTCTAGGTCATTAACCTCTTCACTTACAATCATTTTAGCAAAAGGACTTAAGCAACTATTATGTACCTGATTGTCAGCAAAGAGCCATGGTGGCCAAATTATTTTTCTTTTGTAACATGAACATTTAACCTGAAGATTGATGTTTCATTCTTGGTTGATTACTTAAAGACTCTTAATTCTACCTTGGACTTAAAAAAAATACATATAGATTGCACTTATTTAAAGATAAGTCTTTAGCAGTGAAAAATTGTTATTGATATTCACACTCCATAATACTGAACTAAAATATTACTAATATTTTATTTTTATTACATTTCCTACAGCCAGGAGAATCTCTTCATTTTGGTGGGGGGGGTATGTGGCTGAAGTATTTAGGGGTGAAGTATAGGAGGCCTGTAACTTACTTTAGAAGTGTTCTATCCATCTGTCTTCTATCCAACTAGTCTACCTACAAGCAAATATGTCAAAATATCAGAAAGTGGTCGGTTCCATCTGATTTGAGACCTCAGTAATCTGAATCATCTGCCTATATATGGGTGTTCATTACACTGTTATATTTTTCTGTATCTTTAAAATTTTCATAATATACAGTCACAAATTTACATGTAGTTTTTGAGAAGCCAAGTCACATTGTGCTTTCTAGGCTGCTGCTTCCCCTCCCCCCACACATGAGGTCAAGAAGGCTGCACTAGATGTTCTTTAAGGCCCTCTTCCAGGTGCCAACCCTAAGTTCTCACAATTTGAAAGTTTTCTACTTGCCAGGAGGGTGACTTTTAGAAAAACTAAAAAGACAGGCTCACAATTTTTCATCTGAATAGTTAAATTGAGATCAATTAAAATGTGCCCCGATCAGAAAGCATTAAGCGGCTTTAAAAATGACACATTGATCCACCTATTACTTTTCATTTCTAGTCATGCAGGGGGAACATAGTCATTGCTGATGTTCCAAAAGCACCCCTTTAGCAGAGCACTCCCCTCGGGTGAGAGGCGAGCAGCACAGGGAAAGGCTCCGGAGAGCAGAGAGAAAGAAGCCGAGAGCGGACAAAGGTAAGGTCAGCTCTAATTTCCCTCGGCTTTTAAAGGGCAATAAAGTTGCGTGTACTCACTTCTCCTCGATCATTTGCTTCTGATATTCCTCATATTCCTCTCTAGTCATCCCTTGAGCTGCAGCAGGATCCGAGGCCCCTCCTTCTTCTTTTTTTTCTTCAGACCCGCCACCAAATCCTAAATTCTTTACCTGGTTGCTTATCATAGTTTTCATAAAGAAAGCCATCGTTTCTGCCCCAGAAAAAGAAAACCCAAAACTCAGACAAAATTTGAAGGAAAAAAAAAGGACAAAATTTCCAAATATCCTCAATGACAGTCACGCATTTAGGAGCAGAGGACTTTGCACAGACTCATCCCTCCAAGGGCGGCCTGATGGAGAAGAGTGGCTTGTGGGCTGTAAGCCGGATTAAAGAGGCGCGCTCCCTCGTGTGCGGACACAGATGGTTCAGATTACTGAGCCGTACAATCGGGTGGAACCGAGCACTTTCTGAACTAATACACTGAGCTAATTTCAGAGGGGGAAAGCATCCTTCCCATTCTCTACCCCTCCCTCCCCACTCATTTCTAAAATTTAAATTATAAGCACAGCAGGGCTTCTGCTTCAATTAAATCCATCACAGCTGACATTATATGGCTGGAGCGGAATTTCCAAATTCCAGCCCTGGAGCCTAATATCCTGTTGATCACTGAATCCAATGAGACTCACAATCCAAAATGCTTCATTAAGCAAAAATAATCCTTTGATCCATCATTTTATCTCATTGGACCTGTAAGTCCAGTGTGAGGATTTGCCTTTGTCTTGCTTGGATTCTCTCCTGCGTCAGGGGTTGCCCCGCCCCTTACATAAATACCCAAGGGAGGCAAGTCCAAGGGGAGCACCGGCGGGTCCACAATTTCCATCTGGAAGGTTGTGTCAGCCCTCTGCATTGAAAGCTGTCACACTTCTGCATGGAAGTGACGCTCTGGACAACTTCAGTGCTCCATCCACAGGAGAGGGACATGTGTGAGTCACATCATCGGTGTGTAAAGGGCCACCTTTTCCTCTTACAGACAGCCCACTTCCTGGGTGCTCCTTTAAGCTAGGTGGTGTCCGTGGAGAAACCCTTTGACAATGTTTTGTCATGCACCAGATTCTCAATGGTCGTGGTGTTCCTCGGGTCAGGGGAGGAATTGAGTATGGCTAAGACTTTAATCTACAGGAGTATCTTTCTAATTAAAGCACTCCAAAGCGGGGCTGGGCAGATGGGGGAGACGTGGGCTATTTGTCACTTATGCTTATTTTATCTGTAGACATGAGCCCTCCCAGAAAATAGATGACTGTCCTTCAGATTGTACAGAACGATATAATCTGGATTTTTGCCTAAAATGCTTGTTTTGTATATTTAAAGATCTGCTTTCCCATTTGCTGACCTACTTTAAAACATTGCTTTTTACTCAGAATATTTTATTTCAAGCTGGGTCTGCCTGTAGTTTATACCCCTTATTATCAATCCTTTTTAAAAAATTTTTTTGATTATGCTATTAGTTGTCCCAAGTTTTCCCCTTTGTCCCCCTCCACCCACTCCCTCAGGTAACCCCCCACCATTGTTCATGCCCATGGGTCATGCACATGGGTTCTTGGCTGCTCCATTTCCTATACTGTACTCTACATCCCCATGGCTATTCTGTAAGTACCTATCTGTACTTAATCTCCTCACCTCTTCACCCATTCCCCATACTCTCCTTCCCCCTGGCAACCATCAAAACCCTTTCCCATATCCATGATTCTCTGTTCTTCTTGTTTGCTTAGTTCACTTTTTAGATTGAATTAATAGATATGTATTTATTGCCATTTTATTGTTCATAGTTTTGATCTTAAGTCCCTTTAACATTTCATATAATAATGGTTTGGTGATGATGAACTCCTTTAGTTTTTTCTTGTCTGTGAAGCTCTTTTTCTGCCCTTTGTTTCTAAATGACAACTTTGCTGGGTAGAGCAATCTTGGCTGTAAGTCCCTGCTTTTCATGTCTTTCAGTATTTCTTGCCAGTCCCTTCTAGCCTGCAAAGTTTCTTTTGAGAAATCTGCTGACAGTCTTATGGCAATGCCCCTGTTGATAACTAGCTGCTTTTCTCTTTCTGCTTTTGATTCTCTCTTTATCTTTAATCTTTAGCATTTTAATCATGATGTGTCTTGGAGTAGGCCTCTTTGCATCCATCTTGTTTGGGACTCTCTGTGCACCCTGGACTTGCACGTCCATTTCTTTCACCAAATTAGGGAAGTTTTCTCTCATTATTTTTTCAAATAGATTTCCAATTTCTTCCTCTTTCTCTTCTTCTGGCACCTGTATGATGCAAATGATGCCAGTCAGCTGCGAGGACTGGCTGTGACCATTGGCCACCAACCTCCTCCCTCCGTGGAGGATCAGCTGTGCAGGGGCAGGTTGGTGGTGTTCCAATGTGGTCTGTAGCTGTCCTCTGGGTGCACAGGCTCTGGGGTTTCCTAGATGGTGCAGGCCAAGTTCAGCCCCAACCTGTTTTTTGGCCGGAGCCACCTGCCTGAGCTATAAAGCAATCTGAAAAGGCTGCTACCTGTATTGGGCTTGGAGACTCCCAGGTGAAGCCAAGCTGTGAATCTAGGCTGTTTGCTGCTAGTGCCAGGTCAGGGGCCCCTTAGCAAGAAGTATGGGGGCTGGGGGCTCACTGGGGCTGACTGTTGCTTGTTTGAGAGGATTTAGGAAGTTGTGAAGCATGAGCCAAGACCAGCCATTTATATGAAAAAGCTTGGGTGGGCATGTAAGTTGGAGATTTCTGGGGACCTCCAGGGTGGGGCAAACAGCATTAGCCACATTGATGTGGAGTCTGATATGGCATCCACCTGCTGGCTCTGTGGCAGTGTCAGGGGAGGATTCAGAAAAGGAACAATAGCCTCTGCTTGCCTTTCTGTCTGGGAAACAGCTGTCCCCCAGCTCTTGCCTTGAAGACAGACACTTCAGCTCCTCCCTCTATGCCACTGGAGCCTTTCAAGCTGCTACCCTGGTGCTGGAGCTCAGGGGGGGAGTGAGTCTGAGTAAGTCTGTGTGGGTTCTTTAAGAGAACTACTTGGGACTCCAGAAGTTTCTTCCACCAACTCAATCCCTGCTGGTTTTTGCAGCCAGAGGTTGTGGGGATTTACCTTCCTGACACTGGAACCCTGGGCTGGGGGGCCTCGTGTGGGGTTAGGGCCTCTCTCTCAAGATCTCCCTCCTGAATTTTTATCCACCACACATGGATGTGGGACCAACCCTTTCCGCATCTCCACCCCTCCGACCAGTCTGGATGGATGTGGTTTCTTTAACTTCATAGTTGTTAGACTTCCATTCGATTTGATTTCTGATGGTGCTGAGTGATGGCTGTTCTGTATTTTAGTTGTGACTTTGATGTGGTTGTGCGAGGCGGTGAGCTGCGTTTACCTCTGCCGCCACCTTGCTAAAATGGTCTCAAAGACTGACAAGACACGTAGGACAAACAGAAACTTTGCTCCGTGCTGATTGAGAACGTACATTAATAGTTAGCTCCATTCTCCCTTTTTGATGCACGGGAACTCAACACTCAAACCATTATGTGAGTTACTATATTTCATCTCCACTGAGGAATGCTATTCATTAATAAGGTCTTACAAAACTTTTTAGACGATAAAAAGCCAGAGCGCCTGTATTTCTGCCTGTTTTGTTTCCCAGTTCAGCACAACTCTCCTTTAGAAAATACTGCACAGGTGTCTCATGACATTGAAAAAAAAACACCCTTTATTTTTCAAAGGCAAGGACAACTTGCTAACGATCTGTCCTATATAATAGTTTTAGTCAGAAGATGAAATCCCCAAAGCCAAGTTGAAATTTGGTAGGTCTGAATGAAAGTATTATTCCTTAAAAGAACAGAAAAAACCAAAATAATAAAAAATCTATTTCATTGTTTTATTATAAATTATGAAGTTATTTATAAAATCTACTAAAATCCCATTTTATTAAGAATTGGGAAATATTAATGGTAGTGGTGTCAATTTTAAACTCTAAAGCCAGTTTGGAAAGGAGACTCCCTGTCTGATCCTTTCGCGGCTGCGGGTGAGAGGGCAGGGGAGGGTGTCAAGCATTAGAGACCCTCAGGTGGAAGCTACACCAACACGGCAACTGAATACTCTGGTATTTTTAAATGAAATCAGATCTCTCAATGTGTCCCCAACAGATGATTCTATTGAAAATGGAATATTCCTCAATTTATTACATGGCCTTTCTACTGGAACATTCAGCAACTATTATTTGTGGCTGTGTATAGAATGACTCATTCCTTTGAAAGGGAAAATAAACACCCCAGAATCTGTGAAGTGGGACCACTAAGCGCTACCCTGCCACAGCCTTCCCGCCCTGCTTGAATCAAGGCCCCGGTCTTTACTATGGCCCGCAAGGCCATGTCTCCAGCCCCAGACCGTGTTGAGGGCTTCTGCGGCATCTAGTTGCCACCACGCCACACCCACAGGCTGACTCATTATTGGACTCTTTTATTTTATCTAGTATTTCTCAGAAGATGGGTCCATTACCTTAGCCTACCATTTTCTGAAACCATTTTATAAGGATTCTATTTTACAAGGCTACCAACGTGGGAGATAAGGATTATGAGGAAACCGAAGGTCATCTTTACTGAGTGGCAGAGCCAAAAATTCAAACCCAGGTTTGACCCCAAAGCTCTACTCTTTCCTTCTTGTATTGCATGGGCTCTGAGAATTGGAATGACTTCGTTAAAATGGTGCCTGCTAAAAAGATTAAAAGATTTTTAAACTGCCCTCAGTAAGGACTAAGAGTTCTAAATTATAGTTTTACCAGTATATGGTCATTAAAAGTGAAAATATCCATTACATCGTTTTAATTCATTTGCATTTTCATTACAGCTTAGCATTTATCCATCACTATTTCCCCTTCTCTTATTACGCTCCCAAATGTGGATTCTGCAGGCAGTATCCACCCAGGGCAGGGAGCACAGCACATCATAAATGAACTACTATCACAGAGCAGGGCCTGTGCGGAAAGTAAATACCTACTTAGGACCAGGGGCCAATGAAGGAAAAGGTGAATTTACTAAAATATTTCTTTATTTGAATAAGGTCAATGTCATTTCTGGAATTTCAGCCAGCATCAAATAACAATCAGAAAAAAACACTTGACAAAATGTTAATCCAATTGAAATTAACAGAGGATAGAAAACTTTTTTAAACTTTAAAAGAAATATATTAAACAGGCAACATACGGATCTAAAAAGTTGCAAGTGGTGATTTCACATTAGGTCATATACATAAAAAGATCCCCAATATAATCATTTGTTCACCATCTTCCTGCAAGAGGCACATTGGGCAGGAAAAGATAATCACATCTTAATATTCACAACCATTATGTTCTTTACAAAGACACCAGGTCTCTGTGATGCAGTGGATCTGGCAATCCCTTATTCAAGTAATTTTTGTTTTCCCCAAGTTATCAAAAAGTACAATTGTCTGAGATAAAATGTCACAAAAATCGCACTCAGGAGAGCAAAAAGCTTTAGCAGGCAGACATGAAGATGGGAGTTTTCCATGGCTTGACCATGATCTGAAAATGATTTTGTAAGTTTAAAAGTCATCAACCAAAGTACAAATGCTATAGGCAACAATCTGGGTTTAGTTTGTAGCTGTTACCCAACCAAAAGTTTCAGTAAAAAGAACATTAAAAATTGTTAAGTATAAAAGAATCAGTGCACACGTGCTAGTATCACGACAATGAAAGTGTTAGGTGCTCAGCTCAGCTTTCAGCCAGCAAAACGCTTATTTTTTTCTGCTCCCCTTCTTAGTGGTTCTCAAACATCAGCGTGCTCAGGATCACCTGAGGGGCCCGTTGAACCTGATTCTGAAGCCGACCCCTGAGTTTTGATCCAGGTGGTCTGGAAAGGAGCCTGGGATCTGTATTCTTAATAAGCACTCCATGACCAGGAGCGACCACACTGTGAGAAACACTGATATTCCTTTAACACATAGCAAAACATTGTTTATTGTTTACAGCTTCATAGGAAAGTCGCAAGCTGAATAAAACATCCGAATGATTGGAACACAATAGGTACATTAAATAAGGGTATCGGCCATTATGCAATAACATTTCTGTTTAAAAGTGGCATCATAAGCATGACTTACACTGAAATTTTAAATCAATTTTGTTTTTATCTAAGGCACCTGTAAAATACTTGCTGGTGTGAGAGAAGTTAACAAATTCAACTATACAAAACAGTACAGAAATGAAAGAATCCTGGCAGTGACTGAATTTTCCACAGACCAAACATTTTTCCTCAGAGATGAACTAAGTCAATTGTTTTGAGCAAAATAAAACATTTCAAACAATACAATACACACCTGTGTGAACAGCTTTGCCGAGTGATTTTTAGCAATTCAATTACTAAGTAGAAAAGATTCACGCTCACGCTCTTGCATAACAGCCGTCTCTGTTCTATCAGGAATGATCCCAACGATTCCTCTGGAATTTTGGCCTCGGGAACGCTTGCTGCATGGATCTGCGTTCCTCTACTAAGTTCAGGCACACGTGGCCATGGACTTTTTAACACTGAATATTTTGAAGCCTTTTGTCTCAAAAGGATTTCCCAAGTTCAGAGTCTACAACTTAAACATACTTCTGAAGGCATTAACTTTTTCCCCCCAGGAAGTAAAGAGTAAATTCTGTGATAATGTCTCAGAAACATGAATTTCAAAATGCGAACGTGAGGAGAAACACCGGTGAAGTGTGCTGAAGCGACTGAAGGTGAGTCAGTAACCGTTCGAATACGCTTGTTCACTGTTCTACAGTAAATGCTAATACAAAAAGTGGTCGGGGCTGTGTGCACACACAGGTCAAGCTGGGCACTGCTATCGGGTAGCATTTTCAGAGTCTGTATGGATCTTAGGCAGTTAGTGCAATCTGTATATGACACCTTAGAATAAATTTATTAAGGCTTGAAAGAATTAAATAACATTATTATACAAAACAGTATTATTTTGGATTCTATGACAAATGAAGATAACCACTTTAGCTAAAAGAGGTGAGTATTTTGAGGTGGCAAAAATAAGTACACAAGCTCTGAAAACAAAATGTTTTCATTTTAAAATGTCATTGACAGACTGCTTCTATAGTATCTGGAACTCTGTACAAAGACTCTGTATCAACCCATTCCAGTCTGATATTTCAAGGTTAAGTTTTCTGACAAGTGCTGCACAGTATCTTCAGTTCTAGCATTAAAAGAAAAAAAAAATCACAAGTATGAAGTCCATTTTTCAAATTTTGCCTTCAAAAATCTTAACACCGCCCCTCGGCTGGCCTCCTTCATTTATAGGAGTACGCAGACCGGGCTGTGTGGGGTAATGTCAGCCAGAATGTGGTGGTGGGTTTTGTGAACTAAAATACCTGCTGAACATGCAATCTGAGCTGGGTTTACAAGCTACACAAAAGAGCAGAAGTTCCTTAAATTACAAATACAAAAATTATTTTCATAATATTGAACTGACACTGTTAGAAGGAAGATACTCGAGCATATACGCAATCATGAAATGAACACATTACCAGGCAAAATACCCATAAAAACTATTATCAGGAATGTGTTCATCAATCTTTTTTTTTTTTTTTTTTTTTTGGCAAAGAGCAGTTCTTAATTCTTCCCCCAAATTTCATTGATAATCAGAGGGAAAAAAATACTTCAATAAACATTCTGAAGCCTATTATCCAGATCCTAACGCTCTCAGACAAAATAGTCTTTGATTTCAAAGGGAACAGTATTAGACTACAGGATTGAGGGATTGGGTCTTTGACTACGAAATTCTGACCTCTTGAAAAAGACTTAGGTTACAAACTAATCATGATGAGGAGCTCTTAGTTCAACCTATTTTGGGCAGAAGGAGGGCTGTGTTTATATGAAATAAAGAAACCTCCAACATCCAAGACTTAGGGGTAACTTTCATACTTGGGGGTTCCCCCATTTTCTATTATTTACCCCCTTATTCATCAATAGGAATATTGAAGTTCAGTGGCTATATTCTACTGGCCAGAAATTAACTGAAATTTAAATAGATTTTATGTACTATGCACAAATTTACATGTGGTTCTCTTTAAGGTCTCTTCTTACTGCAAATCAATGTTTAAAGTTATTTTATACAAAACTGAATAATTTAGCCTATGAAGCAGTTTAAATACATACAGTCCCTCAAAAAGACATTTTGTACATACATACATGATGTACACATATGAAAACGGTGGTCAAAAGAATTTCTTGGCAGCTGCTTCTTGCTGAGTCCTAAGGAAAAAGAAAGAAAAAAAACAGAGAATTTCTATATACTTTACTTTAAGAAATAGGACGCTTAAAATTAAAATACACAATGTCTTTTGAAGTACAAAATACATTAAAATAAGCATACATTCTATACATGCACTCCCACGTGAACTGAAATACACTGGAAATAATATTTGCTTTGTATAAAATTAATTTATAGATATTGAAAATTCTAGTAAGAACAAGGACAACTTTACTGAGTAGTTCAAATGAAACACACACAAAATGTTGGGTCAAATTTTAAAGACTTACCTATACATGATATAACCGATGAACAACACCGTCTGGACCACTACAAATATAACGAAGTGAACCGTAGACAAACATGATGGAAATGGCGGTAGTTCTGGGCATTTTGGTCTTTCATTTGATGGCTGTAAGGCAAAGAACTCTCCATTACAATGAGTGAAATTAGTATTTTAGAAAAAGAAATGTGAAATCTTTATAAAACTCATGGTTTACTGCATAAACTCCAATATTTTCAATTACTCCTCCTGTATCTTCCGTCCCCTTAACTTTTACCAGCAAACCTTCTGGAACAGTAGCTGACACTGGATGGCCTCTACCTCTTCAAGGTCCAGTCACTGCCTCTCTGCCATCTGGTTCCTATCTTCATCACAGTGACAATAACTTGAGTGTCCCTGCAGGTCACAGACCATGCATCCCCTGGGCACCCCCAGTGGACACCTGCTGTACGGGAGTAATTACGAACAGCATCACCGTCCACAGGGTCAGCATGTCACCGTCTGAACCGGAAGTCCTCTCAGAGCGCTTGGCTCCGCCTTCCCGAGTGCCCGGTCCAGGCATCCCGCGGCTGGCCACCAGCGGACGGCCGGGCCAACCTGCCGGTCTCAGCTCTTACCTGCCCCTTTCCTAGTACTCCACATTACTGATAAGTATTCTGACAAATGTGTCTTTTCCTATTTTCACAAGTATTCTTTCTATTACAAGGAGGTAAGTACCAGGGACAAAGATTCCCTCCAGGTATGCTGACGGAATCGCTTCTATGATGATTTGTTTTGAAGATGTTTACATCAAAAAAAAAAACAAAAAAAAAAAAAAAAAAACCTTACACCTATGGGATAAAGTTCTTCAGTGTGTGTGTACACACACACACACACACACACACACACACACACACACATATATATATATATATATATATATATATATATATATATAGTGCCCAAATCATCAATTTAGCTGTTTCAACAAAGGCTAAAGTGGGTGAGTGGAGGTGGGGTAGGTGGCAATAACCTCAAACAGAATTAGGAAACAGATCATAATGCTTAAGAGAGGTAGTGGTCAATAAGAAAAATATTAAGCCACATGTGGAAAACTGGAAGAGGAAGAGGCAAATGTTACTAGCATTTGTGAATTTTATAAGGGTTTTTAAAGCCAATAATTAAGAAAAAACTTAGAAGTACCAGTATTAGAAGTCTTCTAATACTGTCTCTTATGAATGTTAAATTAAGTTATTAATTTTTAATATTTATTGCCAATCTCCCAAACTGTAGATGGGAATTACTTCTGCTACTAAAAATACCTAATAAAGTCAAACAAAAATAAAAACAAGAAAATTTTAGAAATGAAACAAGACAGGAAACGGAGCTGAAAGAAGAATCTTGCTTAGGGAAAGCTGCTGTTAGCTTTGGCTCTGCGCTTCCTTAACATCTGAGAGAGCAAGATGAGTTACCCAGTGCAGTCTCTCTGTCTAACACAAGAGTTTCTCAAAAGAGGCATTTACCTTTCAAAGTTGTTGAAAGGTATCATTACTGATTTATTACTATTTTTTTATTTTTTTAAAGAAAACTTAGAGGGAAAAATCTAGGAAAAAAGTCTGAGATTATGATGGGTCTACTAACTGGAATAGCAATTAAAAAAAAAATTCCATTCAATAAGCTATGGAGGCATGATATAGAACTTACAGAGACATATGGAACAATTCCACCCGAATACAGGGGTGGGCAAAAGTAGGTTAATAACAATAAATAGTACAATAATAAATGACAGAGTAAACAGACTAGAACTCACAACTGTAAACCTACTTCTGCCCACCCCACATTATAAAAGAGCACTTGGCATTGACTAAACAGCTACAACAGTCTCTACAGAATAAAGTGGAACACGTGTTCCTCCTTCCACGAAACAGGAGGGTGCGGTGCTCACCGCGCTCCGCTGCACGAGGTTCTCCACCTCCCGCTTCACTACGTGGAGGTGCTCCTTGATGTCGTTGAAGTGCTGGGTTGTCTCATAGACTCCCCCTGCTGACCCAGGATGCTGGATGCCACTGACCAGCCTGACAGTGTCACTCATGGAATTCCTGAAACAGAAAGTCCCTTTAGACAATGGAATCACTAGAAAAACGACTGTTTTCAATCACTGATTTCCAATGATTAGATGCACTTCTAAGCTCAATATATCAGATCACAAAACAACAGATAAAGAATATCATTATTTTAAAAAACTGAATTGTCATCACCATTGGAAATAAATTTACAAAACTGTAAGTTAACATTATGCCTTTATCTTTTACTAAAGGTCATCTAACCACATAGGGAATAATGCTAAATAACCTGTGTTAAACCAGTGTTCAGTGGGTGCTGAATAACATAATGGATGATCATCTTTAATCAACATCTGTCTTTATAGGCGTTTAATGCTACGCAGTAAAGAGTTACCCCATCAGGCCTGCGCGGCCCAAACCCTGCGCACTGCAAAGCTCTGCAGGACTGGCCTTTGACCAGCCCCTACGGGGAGCCTCTCAGCCCCCAACACCTGCGTGGAAACAGTGCTTCTGTCTCCCTGGGTCTTGGACCCCCCCGGGGAGTTGATGCTAAGGATGGGAGTTGTTTGTGTCTGCCTGGGGCCTGGCCCGCTGTGTCAGTCTGACCTCGAGGGGGACTGTAGACAGAGTGGTTAGTATCAGCCACGTGGATGCTTCACGCCTCTGTGACTGACCCCCTAACACAATCTGGGGCACCAAGGCTTGGCAGCACTCTGAACACATCGCCACACGTCCCTCCTGAGAGGGACCCCACTGGGGATGCACCGAGGGCACTGGCTTCTCCAACTCCACCCATTCGCCTTTCCCCTTTGCTGATTTTATTCTATCCTTTGGTTGTGATAAAATGTAACTGTGAGTATAGCAGCTTTTCTGAGTTCTGTGTAAATCCTTCTAGCAAATTAGAGAACCTAGGGATGGTCTTGAGCCCCCCCAAGTCGGATGTGATTCTATTTCCCCTGTAGTTCTATCAGATGCCACTGTAAAATACAAACCCATTGCCTCAACTAGAACCCAACACAAGAGACATCTACCTGTTTCCAGTATGAAGGAAGACTTGGTTGTCTGGCATACTGAGCAATGGTCTTTAAGTGTTTTCTTTTTTGGGGGTAATTTTGACCCCATACAACATTTCACTTCACACATACTGACTTCAGGATATAATCTCTATGTAAAATGTGAATGCACTATTCAGATGTAAGATCAAGACGTCTACCACTGACAGCTTCAGTGATGGGCTGGGTCACGGGGCTTGAAGAGAGTGGTGAGCGTCTTGAATGAGATAAGTGATGATCAAGAATGCAAATTAAAACCACAACGAGCCACCATCTCATGCCTGCCAGAATGGCCATCATCAATAAATCAACAAACAACAGGAGCTGGTGAGGATGTGGAGAAAGGGGAACGGACCCTTCTGCACTGATGGCGGGAATGCAGACCGGTGCAGCTGCTGTGGGAAGCAGCACGGAGACACCTCCAAAAACCTAAAATGGCCCAGGCTGGTGTGGATCAGTGGACTGAGTGCTGGCTTGCTAACGGAAGGGCTTGAGCAAAACAGAAAAAGGACTCAAGGACATGGACAACAGTGTGGCCATTGCTGCGGGGAGGGGATAAAGGGACTAAATGGTAATGGAAAAAAAAATTCAATAAAGGTTAAAATAAAATTGCCCTGGCTGGTGTTGCCCAGTGGGTTGAGTGGTGATGGCCTGTGAACCAAAGGGTCGCTGGTTTGACTCCCAGTCAGGGCACAGGCCTGGGTTGCAGGCCAGGTCCCCAGTACGAGAGGCAATCACATGTTGATGTTTCTCTCCCTTCCTGTTTCCCTCCCTTCTCCTCTCTAAAAATAAATAAATAAAATCTTTTAAAAAATTAATTAAAAAAATAAAGAGGAAAAATTTATTTTGACACAGTGGGAAAAGTGCTAAACATTAAATGGCTTAGTATACTATGTTATGTAGCATGGATACAAAATAAAGGATGCATAAGAGATTCCTTGGGGCTAGAATATCTAGACTAATAAAACTTCACAATAAAAAAGAATAATGCTTAAAGACTGGTAAGCAGCTTAAGTATTATGTTACAGGAAAAGGCTGAAAGGACAAAAGAGGAGAATTAAGAACCCGAAGAACATTGGAAAATGTTCATGTGAAAATGCCTAGCGCAATACCTAGAATTCAAAAGGTACACAATAAATGAGGGAAAGGCAAACATGGAATGCTAAATGCTGCATACTCTCACAAAAAAGGGCATTTAATACCTTGAGTTTAACATTTAAAATATACAACCAATCAACAAATGACACAGGCTACCACATGCAAATGGTGAAGCTCAAAAAACATTTTTAACTCCGCCCACAGAAAAGGCCTAAAAGCAATGACGACGCAGCACCAGTGAACACCAGACTGCCTACAAATACCACTTCCCAAGAAAACATCAGGGCTTCAGGGAACAACGCCTTTTGCCATGTCTGAGGCAGATTTGTACAAGAGAAGCCGGGAAAGATTTACACTGGAAAGGAAGTGACCAAAGACCACCGGGGCTGTTGTCGAAAGGACACTGAAGATAGTGGCCAAAGAAGGGACAAGTTGAACATTAATGATAAAGACCAGTGGCTCAAACAGCAGAATACATTAAAATCCACGAGTTGCAGAAAAATCACCCCTTACTACCCATCCTGTGACCTCGGAGGTTGCCAGGGCTCTGACTCATTAAGGCAGAAGGGAGAATCAAGTCTTTACCCTGCCTTTCCCGATCTAACTGAGGGGGACCAGAGATGGGGAAAACTCTCCTTTTTAAATGGAGAGGCAGCTTTAGAACAAGTGTCGGCTTTCTTCAACCTCTGATGCAGCGGTGGATGTAGGGTATGGCCTTCGCTGGCTGCTAAAACTTTGATGAGGCCTTTTATAACGAATGGCTCAGGCTGGCAACATCGAGTTATTAATGATGACTGTTGAGAGTGGGTAACAGGGATATGATAGAGGGCTTATTCCCAACTTTTTTGTGTGTGTTTGGAAATTTCTGCAATGAAACAAAAGTTGGCATGGCTTTATGATAGGCTAGAAATAGCACTTTAAAGTGAAGAGATAACGAGAACAAATTCTGACTCTGTTTTCAGACTGTGATTTTTTTTTTATCATTCAAGGCCTTTTAAAAATCCTTCTGTAATCCGAAGGGAATTGAACTCCACGCTTCTGCTAAAAAATAATTCTACGATTACCTAAGAATATGAAAATCCATAAAGACACAAACCACCCTGACCATAAAAGGCAGATATTTCCAAACTCTTTACATTTCTTTCTGCAACTTAAATCATGAAGAAAAGCTCTGCAGGACAAATTCAGAAATTTGAGTTGTTTTTCCATTAACTCATTGTATACAGGACGCTTGGTCTCAGTAAGCAGGAGTTTACAAGGACCATGAACTACCCTGAGTAAGCGCTTTCATGGATAATACGAACAGATGGCTAGGATGTACTAACCACTAACTGAATCTTAAGACGTTCTTAGTATTACTTTTGAGTAAGACAAGCAAATCACAAGAGAATCCAGAGTGTGCTATCATCCTTATAAAAAGGAAGGAAATCTAAGAAAATACACGTGTGCAGAACAGGAAGAACTGACCAGATGCCCGCCCCGGCCCCCCGCCAGAGGCTCTTGAAACCATAGTGTCGCCTATCCTTCATACACCCAAACTGTACAGTTAAAAATTTATCAGATATAGAAAGAAAAGAACCACTAGTATTACAAATAAATATTGTAAACAGACTGAAGAGAGCAGGGAAGAAGAGAACTAAACTACCCGGAAAAACAGTGTCTGAATTAGACACTGTTAGGCTAGAGGCAAAAGGAACGTTACATAAATCCGTCAGTAAATGCATTTCTCACAGGGATATGTGAAACACTTTATGTGCACACTAAACACATTACAGACAGTAAGAGCCAGGTTTCTCCCTACTGGAGAAAGAATTTTCAAATAGGGGAAGAAAGAAAGCTAAAATCAACCCTGTATTGTTCAGTCTAACTAGACTCAAAAGTACCCGCATAATCCACACTCTTGTTCCAGGTAAGACATCAATGATGCTAAAATCGGTGAGCAAAAGTTTAAAGTGAAACAGGATCTTTGCAGTCTTAAAGTATTTTTCCTAAAATATTTGTTAACCACCAAGGGAAGGACAGTAACTTTAAAGCAGAGAAGTTGGGAAGAAACCATCGTAAGCAACTGATCACAGGCAACATCACCAGGAGTGAGACATTCGTGAGCATGACACGCTGTCGTAGTTGTGTCAAAAAACGCAGAACCTCCATCGAATCGTGACTGAATACCAACAAACCCAAACTGAGGGACAATGGACCACATAACTGATCAATGCTCTTGGAATTCATTAATGGTCATGAAAGACAAGGAAAAGATAAATTATTTCAGACTGCAGAAGTCTAAACAGAAGTAACTAAATGCCATGTGAAATCCTGGACTGGGTCTTGGAATAGAAAAAAGACAGTGGAAAACTGGTGAAATCTGAATAGGATCATTAGTTAACAGTACTGTACTAATGCCAGTTGCTTGGCTCAGACAATTGTACTATGCTTATATAAGGTGTTAACATTAGGGGAAGATGGGTGGGGAATGTACAGAAACCATATATTTTTGAAATTGTCTAAAGGCTAAAATTAGATCAAAATAAAGATGAAAAAAAAGTTACAAGAACCAGTCTATTTTTAAGAGAACGTACTATTCATTTAGCATCACAAATATTTTAATCCCAAGTTTACAACTGGAAGGTTTTTTTAAATGCCATGCAGTACAACACAATTTTTTGAAAGGAAACACAACTCTTTTGAAAGGAAACACAAATTTGCTGTTAAAGTCGGGCTGCCTTTAATTTCTAGGTGTCTGGTATTTCCACTTTCTATTTGACCTAATCCTGCTTAATTTTCCAGCCCTAAGTAACTCATTCTGACATTCTTGTTTGTCAAGGGCTGACTGGCTGGGGCAGTGCTCTAAAATATTAGCTTATGAAACATGACATTTCGGCTGTTTCTCTGCTCCAGGCATTGAAAGCTGTTAATTATCTGCATAAGTAAGTCATGTTTAGAAACTTATCATTCAACATTTCAAGGACAGAGTAACTCTGCTATGCTCCAACTTTGTCCAGTCTCGCTTAGGTTTACAAGATGGAATGAAAAGTCACACATTGCATATTTCCTTCAAAATGCTTTCATTCTATCCTAATTCTTACATCAAGTATGCTTGTAGTACAGTCCTACAATGCTGTGCATGCTTATTGTCCTAGCATTTTTCAAAGAATTGTTATACATTACTCATATTCTTTTTATATTTTAGAAATGTATGAACAGTCCTGGCTGTCAAGTAACTGTGACAAACCTATTTTTTAAAAGATGCTACAGCATTTTTTCTTTTCTAGCTTAGAACAATGAAACAATTAGACATGCTTGTAATTTCTACATGAAAAAGTTCCTGTACTTTACATTCCCCTATTTATAAAGTGAATCTAGGACATGATTCTTACCCTCATGCAGGAATCTTACAATGATAATGTGCGTGCACATCATCGAGAAGTCACAGATTTAAAATAAAGGCGGCACGTTAACACTGAGACACTACTGCTGCATACTTACTTCATTTCATTTACTTGTCTCAGAATCTCATGCTGAGCGTTCACAATGGTATCCAGCTCTTGTTGGGAGATCTGCGGGAGAAACAACAGATGTAGCCAGCTCGAGAACCCAGGTTCCGCAGGAGCGCACAGCACAGCGGCCGTTCCTGCCTGCCTCTCCTGCCCGCCTCTCCTGCCCCAGGCCCGCTAACCAGGGCCTGCCGCACGTCTGGGAGGCTCACCTGCCCCTGCTGCCCGGGGGTCCCTGCTCCTCTTTTAGAGATCTCCTCTGTCAGGGAAGAGACGTATTTCCTCTGTTCATCAAGAATCATATCTAACTGTCGGTTCAGCTGCTTGATTTCAAGATGAATACGATTCTGTCCTTCAAAGATCTGTCTCAGCTCACGGTCTCCTACACTCTCAAATATTTCATCCGCTGAAATGGAAATAGAAGTTAAAACTGTAAGAATCGCCTATGCACATGTATTTTTCAAAATAATGAAAGTGACCAATATATACTAAAATTAGAACATCACCAATGCAGTGTGGTATAGGCTCCGAACAGGGTACATGCAGATAATTAACCCAATCATGACCAAATTACTGTCTGTCTTTTTTATGCCTGGTAGTTCAACATTTGTTATAAATTTGGTCTGAAACTAATTGACTAAAACTAAAACTCATTTACTCTTTTCAGATATACTAGGATTTCATTTATATGAATGTGCAGAACTAATTTATGTTAGAAGTCAGAGCAGTAGTTGCCTCTGTGGTGGGGGCAGCCTGGAAAGAGGCACGAGGGGACTTTCTGGGGCGACGAAAATGCTGTGGGTACTGACCTGGGTTATGGTGAAATGGATCTTCACATCTGTCACAATTCATCAAACTACAGTCTTAAAATTTGTGTACTTTACTGGTGTAAAAGATTAAGAAATGGAGTAAAAAAGAGCTGATTTTCCTTTAATACCTGACCGTGCTGAAAATAGATCACAACCTTCAAACACTACAATAAGCTTCAACATACCCACAAATCACATGTGATATTAAAAACAAATCCAGTAAAAGAAAATAGTTTATCTTTCATGCTTCGCTTAAGTCTGAATCATCCTGTGATCACTTAGGAATCACATACTACAAAGAGCTCAATTATGCTGATGGGGAACAACCCAGATAACAAAAGTCAGCAAATAAAATTAAGTACCCTATTTGGCCTTACCATGGTTTTTTTTGAATCCTCACACAAGGATTTTTTTTTTAACTGATTTTTTTTAGAGTGAGAGGAAGGGAGAGAGGCAGGGGGACAGGGGAAGAAAGAGGGGGAAAGATAGGAACATTGATGTGAGAAAGAAACATCCATCAGTTACCTCTTTGTATGTGCCCCGCTGGGGGATCAAACCTGTACCCTATGTGCCCTGATGGAGGGGTTGAACCCTCAACCCTTCGGTGCATGGGGTGATGCTCCAACCAACTGAGCCACCCGGTGGAGGCTGGCCTTAACATATTTTACGTTTGACATGTAGCACACTGAAGTTTCTTAGTAAGTAGCTTAGACAAGTAATTCAAAACTTTCAACTTTCTGAAGCCCAGAATTCAGTTGAGTAGTAAGGGAATGAGAGCCAGAAAATCATTTCACATTACTGTCCCAATAGTTTTGGTAGTTTTCAAGTATGATCTCCATATAAATGAGGTAACTGGGCGCCAATAAAAGGAAAGGAATCAACCTTGGAAGATTTCCTTCAACAGACATTTACCGAGCTTCTACTTCTAGGTCGGCATGGTTGCTTCTTCGGTTGAGCGGACAGTGGTACACACACGAAGTCCTGTCCCCCCTGGGGCTGGCGCTGCGGGGGCCACCGCACGCCCATGGCACCGGCGCCCTGACCGCACCCTCCACTGCGCTTGGCCCGCTTACTGGCACAAACATCAGCCTCTGCGCCCCTTGAAGACTGAAGATTTGCTCACAAACTGTTTCCAGAAATTACTTGGAAAGTCCCAGATAAGAGAGAGGAGGAGGTGACGGGAAGCGTGTGGGGACACACAAGGGCTACCACGAACGCCGCGGCCCTGAGGCCAGCTTCGCTGCGACTCACCAGGTTGGCCTTGAAGGTCAGGGTGGCCCTTCTGAAATTCCTCTTTTTTTTTATCCAGTTCTTGTTGAAAGTGCTCAAATTCCTCCTGATATTTTTCTTTTTCTTTTTCTGAAATTTCTTTATCTGGTGTAGGCTTTTTTGGAGTTTAAGAACAGGTCATTAAAAAGAATTTTAAAAAAGAAAATAATAAACCTCAATATATAGCCTTTTTCTCATTTTAACTACTCTACCACTAGTGGAAAGGTTAACATGAAAATGTTATTTCTTACTTAAATCATAACCAGTTTACTCTTGCTTTTAATAATTGCAGCAACAAACACTAACAGCCACAGCCATTTAGCGAGCGCTTGCTGGAGGCGCACACCTTGTTTAGTGCTTACAAATGCCTGGAGAAGGCCAATGCAAACATCGCGGTTTACCAGTGAAGAGACGCTAAGTAACTTGCACCAGGGCACGGGGCAGTAACTGGCAGAAGCAAGAGCCAAACCTAAGTCAGTCTCCCCACGTTTTCACTATTAAACTGAAAATAAACTTACTGACAACTGTTGGTACTTACTGGCTCCTTCCCAGGCTCAGTCAGCTGGAAAGTCAGAAAAGAAAGGACATCATGGTCATCTATAAATTAAAAAAAAAAAAAAAAAAAAAAAAAAAAAAAATTGAAAGAGGTTGCATAATGTTATTTTTATGGTTGTGAATCTACAGGTAGCTATTACTTAAAAAAAAAAATCAATAAGGGAAATAAAAATTAGCTCTAATTTGGTAAATGCAATGGTGCTCTGTGAGCTTAGACAAAAATTCATCAGAAAGATTTAATTAGAAATAAGCAAAATTCACTTTCTTAATCCTAACCCAGACCACTTAGCAATGTTTAACATAAAACAGATATTTACTAAATTTCTGAAAAGGGAATGAACAAACAAATGAAGGGTCATGTCAAGCCCAAATTCCTAACCCTGGCACCGAGATCCCTCCATGTTTTCCCACAGCTCCTCTTGGACCGTGTCTCAGCCAAATAAAACAAAACCCTGTCCTCCACAGGGTTCCTGTACCTGTCTGTGTCCACCGACCCGTCTCCCAGCACCTGCCACTGCCTGCCGGCCTTGTTACAAACACGACACCGCCCTGTCCCAGCGCACAGGGCGGCGGAGTCCGGACTCGCGCGCGAGGCCCTGGCCTCCCTAACAGCATTCCTGGACTCCCAGAGCACCCCGATACGGAGTTCGGTTACTCTAGCCAGACAGCGTTCATATTGGTTTTCCCTCACACAGCAGACATTAACAATTTTATTTTATCTAAAATCGTATAAAAATAAAGTTAATTTCAAGCTGTTAAAATTAATTTTAAGCTGAAAACAAGGACCTAGCAGATCAAACCTCACGGCATCAAACTAAAACACCAATCCTGGCTAGTCGAATCCACAAAGCAAGAGCGACTCATTTCAACTGTGTGACAATCTCTGTCCGCCACTGTTACGGAGATCTAGACATGTAGCCAGATTAAAGAGAACACTATAAGAGTACGGTGTGGGTTAGGTAGCGATAGGGGCAGTCAGGCATGTAATAGAGCGCTGGGCCCAGGAGCCAGGGAGCCAACCGAGTCCTGCCCCGGTCCGGCCGTTACTAGCCGCATGATCTTTAGAAAGTCCTTTAATCCATGATTTGGCAAACTCACCCAACATTAGGGTAAAATCTATCCTCTCTCTCCCTCCCTGTGTTGTTTGAAGGAAAAGTCATATATTTGAAAATAAAAATATGATATAATGTACCACAGAAACTCAAGATGGTTATTAATGTCAAATGATAAGTCCATCCGCCATCACAGGTAGGAAAAAAACGGTAAACGTATCTTGTTTAAAGCTTAGTCCTCAATAATATTTCCTCGGGCCACCCAATTCACATAAATGTGTTGCGATACCTCTCAGGATCCTTAGAACTTTCGGCAATTAACCTTGTAAGGCCTCTACTTTAAACGTCTCCTCCACTATAGAGTGGCACCCAAACCAAGGTTCTAACTCCCACTGTTGTGCGTGGCCCCACGCGCTGGCATCCCTGCAGAACATGGGTGGGGAACTGGCAGTCCCGAGAGACCGAAAGACTGGCCCTGCAGGCTCCGGGAAGCTTACAACTAGTGAAAGGTTCAAAGTGAACAAGTCTACACGTCTCCAAAGCATACTGACCCCAACAAAACTCATTTCACAAACGCTTAATGTTAAAAGACAGCAAGATTTACCTGCAAGACCTCCAGTTGCGGCAGATATTCCAAAATGCCCTTGTGTGGGGATAATCATATTCTCCACTTTGGCACAAAATTCATAATCATTTTTATCTGGTGTGAAGCCATTATTGATCATTACCTAGGGAGACATACAGTTGCTGCAGTTTTTACAACAGACACTGAAAGGAATTTCAAGTAGTCAATTATGACTAATACTATTTGATCTTATAACCGATTGTCAAAAAGCTATCAGCTTTCTCTCATGGTTATAAAGGGTAATCCCTTATCCACTAAATAACCTCACTTATTTTTGGTACACTATACAAGAAAATATTTCACTTAAGAAAATGGTTTTTGCCCTACTAGGTGTCAAAGACTTCACAGAAAAATTTGTTAACTTTCCATGGAAAATCTTTCTAAAACAGAATATGGTTCACCTTTTCTAGAGAATTCTTAGGGAACCCTGATTTCTTTGAACGGTTCACACAGAACAGGGATCAAACTTGTTCTGCAACCCCAGGGACAGAGCTAAAAAGAATAGGCTGAATTTACAATTTTTACTGTAGTTAGTTGAAAATTAAATAGATTACTTTACTCAACAGGGAGCTCCTCCTCATCAAATTAGGAAGGTAAAGGAACTGTCATTAAGTTAGCAGAGAGACAGCAAAAGTGCCAGAAGTCATATTGACAAAAGAGGAAGAAAATGAAAACACCACAAAGTCACAAGTTTTCATTCTGCAGAATGTGACTTTGAAGCAGTGAGCCTGTACGTCCTAATGGGGTCTCGGTGCTGGAAGCGCAGGGACGCGCCAAGCACGTGGCACAAGCTCTCTTCTCATGCCCCAGCCCAGCGGCAGCCTGGCCTCGGGGCACCTGTCAGTCCCGGCCACCTGTTCCTCCCCTTGCCCCGCCCCGCCCCGGGGGTGGAGTCCCTGGGAGGGAGAGTGGGCGTTTTGTCAAGGTCCACCCTTCATACTGACAGGTGTCTTGCCAAAAGTTTGGACAGAGCATTTTCTCCATGTGACCTGATCTTAACCACCACTGACAAAACTTTGCGCCTTCCCACTCCCCTCTCAGACATGAATGAAGGGCATTCTTGGCTAGTTAATGGTACCTCGTGGTTGTACAAGTGGCCAGAAATTCAGCAACGACCTGACCCCACAACTGCATCCACCCTCCCTCCCCTGAGTGGACCAGCACTGAGTCCTGTCGTGTCTGCTCCTCATGCCCCCGCTGCCTCGGGTCAGACCACAGGTGCAGTCGTACAGTGCAGCTGCTGCTGGCTCTAACCAGTCCTGTTACTTATTTGGTACGACACTGTCAAGTCACCTAAAACCTCCCACGTTCCGTTTCTCCATGTAGGGCGGGGACGCCCACGCCACGGGGCTGCTGGAAAGAATACTGAGGAACTGCAGTAACGTATCGAGCACGGGGCATGGCCCATTGAAAGTCAAGGGGTCTAAAGGACTATCTTCTGCTCCTTCCACAAATACTATTGTAAGAAAACTGCTGCCCAAGTCTTTCTAAGTTGCAGATCCGATCATTTCACTTTCCTGCTTAAAACTCTCTAAGCCGTTCCTTACCAGACGGGCTGCCCGAGGCCCGCAAGGCTTGCTGACTGCCCCTTCCGCCTCACTTCTTCCCCCCGCCCCCCGCCCCCGCCCCCCGCCCCCCCGCAGCCTTGTGGCAGTCCCCAGGCCTGTTTTCTCTACCTGGAGCGTGTGCCCCATCTGGGAAATCCTACTCCCCTCTGACTGCACTCAGCAGCTGCTCCCGGCCCTCTCCCGGTCACTGGCAGTGGCAGTGCCCTAGCCCGCTGGCCCTCTGGTGGTACCTGTGTTGCAGCATTCACCACACAGTATGGTAACGTGACACAAGGTCTCCTGCATTAGATTGCAAGCTCCTTGGAAAATGACCTTTGCCTTGCTCCTATCTGTATCCTGACGGTTTGTATATGCACCTAACACGTAGCACACAGTAGGATGCTTAAACATTTACTGACTCATGCAAACCCAGTGGCCAGGTTTTAGAACACGTGACCACTTACACCAGGCTTTGAAAAACCACTCCTGCTCCCTCACAGTGACCCTGATGAGGCCGAGACCACCACCCCAACTTAAATGCGTTTAATTTCTATCCAAGACGCAAAATGAAAAGTCACACTAGAATACTGTCCGTTTGATGGTCGCTACATGCACGGTACTCACTGTCAATGTTTTCTGGTAGTATGTAATCTTTGCCCGGACAGGATAGGGCTTATTACGAAAGTCCCTCTGGCAACTTGTCAAAGCTTGATTAGCACCGTCACTATAGGATAAGGGAAAGGAACACAGGCGAGAAACTTAAGCTTTTCAGTATTTAAAATGACTCGTGTCTAGAAAGACTAAAATAGCATTAAGTGGAGACAAAGTCTTGAGGGAGCTGAAGTTATTTATTCAGAAGGTGCAGAGCTGGCGCACGAGTTTCTCCTGTGAATTGCCAGCACTCCGGAGAACGTGAGGAGCCACTGTGAGCAAGCGCCGTGGCAAAGGCAGGAGACCTTTAACCCTACTGCAGGGCCCTTATCACAGGACGGCCTTGGCGCCTTCACTTCGATAGCCCCACAGGTAACCACCAGAGTGAAGAACTGCTTAAGTGAACAGGAATGCAGATAAATACTTTTTCTTACAGTTCACAGACTAAGAGGTAATTGCTACCACAACAAACACGTTAAAAAAAAAAAAAAAGTAGATACCAAATTATTACACATTTCAAATATACTAAACACATAGAAGCTTTGAGCTTTTTAGCCCACCAGGAAGCTTTAAATATAGCAGTTTTAAGGTAACCAGGGGGCATAAATTAAAAAAAAAAATTTTTTTTTATTTACTTTTGAGAGGGAGAGAACATTGATCGGTTGGTTGCCTCTAGCATATTATCCCCAGCTACTGGAGGGACCTGGCCACCAACCCAGGCACATGCCCTGACTAGGAATGAAACCAGCCACCCCTCGGTTTGAAAGCTGGTGGTCAGTTCCCTGAGCCACACCAGCCAGGGCAGGTGGTGTAAGTTTCTTAGCCATCAGTTTGGCCAAGGCTCTGAACTTTATTTCCAAAAGACCCCTTTCAAACAGATACGCAAAAGCATGACTAGAGGCATCACTGAAAGTGAGGAACATTTTATTAATTTTTTAAAGTACTATATAATTTTAGGTTAAATATAACACCACATTTTTAGGCTTAAAATCTGAGATGGCCCACAAAAATAACTTTAAAACAGAACCATAATAAAATAACGCCCTTCTATCAAGTTATAAAATAAATCTCAAGAATAATCTTATTTCATCTGGAAAATGTTCAGATTTCAAACAATATATTTTATAAGATTTCCAACAAAGAAGCTGAAATCAGGAATAATGTAAGAAACACATACTTACTTTTGATGGTCATAATGGATTTGTCCATTGTTGCCTATAATTACTATAGTGGGATTATTTTTCTAAAAATAAAGAAAATATATTTGTATTAAAGCCCCTAGACCAAAGAATTCTAGATCATTCTGGATATGCTATAAGGTTTTTTACATCTCTAATATTGTAGAACTGAAAATATAAAAATAATAGCAGAGATTTATTTAATAAACTCTTACAACCATTCAAAAACAGTCACTTAACACCTCAATAAAGACTGGTAATGCATCCTCTCTTTGAATAATCAACCTCGCCATGTATTTTGAGGACACTTTGTGAGCACGGGACCACGTGTGGGACTTATGGAAGCTGAAACAGGGGGACAAACTCCGCCTCAGCATCCAAGGATTAAAGTTCTCCTTTAATTTGCTAATACTGACTCCAGTAGAGAAACAATCAGTTAGAATAAAGGTCATCAATCTTATGGCTCCTAAAGCACAAAGTAACGTTCTCAATTCCTAAGTATATTTTATTCTTAACTGTTTTAGGAGAGATCAGAGAATTTGATCAGAAAGAGTGGTTCCTATGTGAAAAGACAGTAACATGTGAACTAACAGTAGTAACACATATGGGTATTTTCATGAAAACAAACTATAATGGTTGACTCTACACACTACTGGTTTTGCTGCCTGTATCTACATGACTCATGTGTACCCATCAAAATTACTGTGCACAGACAGGGTGCTAGGGAGGGGGCCTTGCGACATTCCCAGAGTCGGGGTTCCACTATGACCCCGAGTTGGAGTATGACAAATCGGGAACTCATAGCTTTAAATGTATAAATTCCCAGCTATATAAAGACTAGCTATCACATTTAGTTTGGGGAGCTCTCTGCTATTGAAATGACAAAAGTGTTAAAATAAGCTGTATTCGCACAGCTTAACTTTGTTAGCAGATTTCAATGTACTGAGGTGGGTAACAGCCACATACCTTTCCATCATTGTCAAAAGAATCGAAGAATATGCCGACACCATTCCACATATCGGCTGATCCAAACACGGGACCCTCCAAACCTTGATTTTCTGTATACCAAACCGCCTGTACGTATATAATAAGGAACATTCAAAGACTGGTGGTGTACGCTTCTGTATACATTTTCTAAGTTAAAAGTATCATACCAGGCCATCGGCTCCAATTCGACCTCTTCCAGTCACTCGAAACGTCACCTCAATTTCCCAGCTCTCGAAGGCTGCTTTTGTCTTTGTCCACACTGAGCCTCTTTGGCTTTTTAAAGACGGTGCTATTCGAATTTGATCTGAACTTGGAATAGCATCTAGAACAAAAAAGCTTTAAGTTATAATTAGGTAAAACTCAATGGATCATCACCAAACTGTTACATATAGACATCTAATTTTAAATCAGTAATGTATACAGTAATTTTGTTAGGAAAAAAATTTCATGTTGACAGTTTCAACTTTTGAATAGTGAAATATATCTGCAAAAAAATAAAAATAAAAAATTAAAGCTTACACACTATACATGCAAAGGGCAGGAGAGAGGAAATTTTGGCTTAAAAGCCAAACCAAGTATTTTATTCTCATATTATTTTTCAAATACTTTTAAAAACTGCAATATGTTATCAGTTTGCAAATGTTAGAAAAGCATGAAAAGAGTATACCACTAGGAATCAAGAGACTTATTTCTAGTCTCAGTTGAGCTGTGTGACTTTGCAAATAATTCTTTTAACGCTCTGGGGCTCACCATATGCTCACCTGAAAAATGAAGGGGCTGGGCTAAATCACTTCCATAAAAAGACCAAAAATTTTATGTAAAATGTTGTGCATATATATATATTCTTCTAGGGAGAGGGTCAACCGAATTTCAGGTCAATAAATAGTACTTCAGCATCAGTACATTCTCAGAGAAAGGAAATCCCCCAAATGGTGGCTCGCATCTGCAGGCTAGGTCCAAGTCCCAGCTTCACTACTTACTAGCTGTTTATCATAGGCAAGTTACCTCATTTCTCCAACAGTCTCGGAAGCATGTAAGTTCCACATGTATGTGTACGTGTGTGTGTGTGTGTATGTATATCTCCATATAAATAGCTCCATAAATGCTAGCTATTCCTATTACTGGACAGAACAATTATCCTATCAGGCCTACATTTGAACAATTCTAGCACATCCTCTCACATATTAACCAGTCCTGACTTCCACGCTGGGAAATCACTGTACTGTCTCTTTACGGGTAGGAAAAGCGGACAAAAAGCTAAGATACTTTAGTCAGATCAGCCACTGTTTGTCACCATCACTTGGTGGGGGCAAGCATCCTGGAAAGAGAACTGGATATGGAATCAGGAGACCTGCAGTTGAGTTCTGTTCTACTGCCACTAGCTATGTAACTTTTCCGAACATCATTTTTTATCTATGAAACAGAAATGGCCTGCCCTGCCGACTAAGGATCAGGTTAGAACTGAAGTGAAAGCTGTGAGAGCTTTCATATGTGAAAAAGTTATAAACTGTTATCATTTTTTGCCCTTATGGACCCGAGGACGTGTACCGACAGTACAAAAGGACATAAGCATTCGGAAAAAGAAACGCCATAGAGCTGGTCCTAATTTGGGGATGAATTAAAGGGCCATGCTTAAACTAAATTTTAAATTTCTCTAGTTTTCAAAATTGTTTTAAATAATGAATCTCAGAGCAAAATGAAAAGATAAAAAATAACCAATGGAGTTAGGAAAACAGTGGAATGAAATCATAGTGATAATGAAAGCGAACGATCCACACAGCAGTGATTCCTGGAGTCAGCAGACAGAGATGTCAAAGCGAATATACCAATCACTTCATTTCAATTCAATCTAGCCATACAACTTTAATTAAACCAGGTACCTTATCTGACATTTCTGCAGCAAACTTAGTTGGTTACAGGCTTTGTAAAGAAAGCCAAGATAATGAATGGGAGTAGTCCATTAACACTGGCAACTGGCCAAGTACGGGGCATAAGCATGAGAAAGAGAGTGCAGAGCCAGCAGGCAGTGGGAAGATGCAGAAGTGAAAAGTGGTGACCAAATTCATCGTCGTCCCCCCAAAACCCCCTGAATTCCAAAGCTTGTGTTTAGTACATTGGCCTCTTCTTTGTATATTAAGAACGTTAGTTCAATAACAAAAGCCCGGGAATATACCCTTGATGAGTGGGCACATAATTAATGCCTGTTGAGTAACAAATTGATTGCACTCTACTTCAAATACTTAATGACTTGGTCATTATGCCAGACTGAAATTTATACCTTTTAATTACACATCAATTTCAGTGAAATGGCCCTTCCTAGGAGTGTGCTTCCTATTCAAGGGTTACTTTCTAGAAATAGAACATTTCTACATTGTCCAATACAGACAGTCTAAAATGATGTACACAAACCTCATGTAAATGACTTATTAATTACACATTGAGATGGAATTCAAGTTGCCAGAGCTTCACACCTGGTGGTCACTGAACAGAGCTTCCAGCTGTCAAGTGCTATGGCTGATGCCTTAGCCAGCAATGACACATCAGCACTAAAGTACAGATATATTTCCTTCACATATGTAAATGTCTAGCAAGGCAAGCTGTTATCTACAAACAGTGCCAAACAGAGAGTGAATAAAAATCATGGAGCATAGGTTATTTTGATTTTTCCAAAATACTTTTTTAAAAAAAGCTGTAAATATAATGCTAGTCTCAAGTTCTGAAACAGTATCAAAAATATATCCCTTGGTCTACTAAATAAAGGGATAAGTGTGACTATTAAGTTATATAAAGTGTAAATACAAGAGGAAAGACCAAAGGCCATACCAAGTCACTGACAGCGGCAAATTAAAGGTATCATCCCAAAGGAGTGGCAAGTGTCCTGACATTAAAACTTAGAGTTACTACAAAAGCAACATGTATAATCTCTGGAGCCATCAGGAAACATTGGGTACAAATTGGAGCATTAACCATTCCTAACACCCCGTTAAAAAAAAAAAGAAAAGAAAGCAGGGGAGGGCCGAGGGGAAGCGGGAAAGGAGGTAGGGTGGCTGCTTGACCAGGTCTCAGGTTGGGATCAGTTGGGATGGAGTGTGCGGGACGTTTCCCCTAGAGACTTGGCTTTAGGGTGAAACGTGAAACGTGATGCCTACAAGAGAGTTTCAGTGAGAGCTTGGAAGTGTAAGAAGTAACAAAACACCCTTAGGACAAACAGAAAGACCCGAGGAGATCAAGGAGGAGACAGGCGGGACGGGGGGTGGACGTGGACAGAAGGGGGAAAGAATGGAGGGCTAGAGAAGGGGACCTTGTGGACCAGAGCCGAGCTGTAGGAGAGTCTGCCTAGAAGGGTCCCCTCCACCGCGCATAAGGTGTTCAGCAGTAAGATAACGAAAAGGAGAAGGCGCCAGGCGAGGATGGGACCCTGGCCCTCCCGCCCTCCGTCCCAGCTTACTCCCCGCGTGGGCCCAGAAAGGCACGGTCCCGTCGCTCTGCACCAGGTGCGGCCCCTTGAAGCTGTATTTGTATTCGAAACGGCGATGTGGCAGTGTGGCTGGGGCGCCCGCGGCACCGCCGGGCGCAGGGCCTCCTCCCACGCCGTCGCCCCCGACGAAGTGACTAAGCGACAGCAGCAGGGCGTAGAAAAGCGGCCAAGCTCTGAACTGAGGACCCCTATGCCTGGATCCCGCCATATTGGATTCTGGAAAGCGGAGGCCGGCGGGAGGGGGAGGGGCGCGGGAGCTGCGGACAGCCAACAGGGCGTTCACTGATTGGCGGAGCCGGAGGTACCCTGAGGGCAAGGTTGAGACCCGCCCCCTGCCTCCACTAACCAGGCGGTCGCTGGACCCGAATATCTGTGGGCGTGGCCACGCCAAAAGGGGGCGTGTCCTGTAGCGCAGTGAGGTGCCGAAGGTCCTCCTCTTCAACCCGGGGTCTGGAAAGATTCCATCCTCTACTTCCCCCAAAATCACCGAGTGTTGCACGAACCGACTCACTGCCTACCTACAAGAATCCACCTCCTGCGTCTTTTAAAAATGTATTTCTTAGAGAGAGGGTAAGGGAGGGAAAAAGAAGGAAAGAAACACAGGTGTGTGACACATTGCCTCGCACGTTGTGACCGGGAATGGAACGGGCAACCTTTCTGTCGGCGTTCAGCCCACGGAGTCACAGTAGCTAGAGGGCTCTTCTCCGTCTGACCTCGTTAGGGGTAGAATTCGCGAAACTTAACACCTGTAAACCCACCACATCGGTCCTCCATGGCTGTAATAAACCTTTCCAGTATTAGTTGGAAGAAATGTATTCCTTTTGAGGGGATAGCAATTGTTATATTTTGAATATATTATTGTATATGTTACGGTAGTGCTAAAGAACTTGTCAATTATAATTAAAATTTCAATTTAATTTTTCATGTTTGCCTTTTAGTCAATGAATAAAAAATGTAGATATGAATAGCTTTGAATGCAATTTAGGTTAGAAAAGAGAAGGGAGAGCGAGGCTCTATTTGACACAGTATGTATTAATAACCTGTTACCTGTATATTAACATGTTATATGTGTGTTAAGCTATCAAATGGTATTTGTCTTATGCAGTCAGTGTATGTGAAAATATTTTTCTTGATCCTGCTATGTTTGGATAGACTAGATGACCCCGTTTCAACCCTTACTATACATATTTTTACTTAGTAAACATATAATTAGAGCTGACACTGGAAAGAGGATATGTTGCTTGTAATAAAACAGAACTGTTTAATTTTTCTTCGTACATGAAAAGGTCAGCAATAATATCCCCCTTAATACCTCCACTGGGATAAAACATAATCTTTCATTCCTTTGACACACTCAAGGCACAGTTAAGAGGGAAAGGGAGAACAGTAAAAGTAGGTAGGAGAACTTAAAAACAGGAGAAAAGAGAAAGAAATGTTTGGAAAGGGGAGAAGAAAGTTCTTACCCAAACGATATCCTGCACCATTTTGACCTCAAAATAAATATTTGTAGATATTGACTTCCCAGGGCAGAATGACAACGGATCATCAAAGAGAGGTTAAGCAAAAACATTTAAACTGAGAATCCAAGCTGGATCTAAAGAAAGGGGACATGTACACAGACAGGAAACAACTGCGCGCCTCCACATCAATGAAGAATCGAGCCAGAGCGTTTAGGGGCTTTTTTACCCATTCCTTAGAGACAGTATTTTGCATGCATTTGGGATACTGGAGCATATTCAATACGGAAACTCAAAGAAATCTCAGTGGCATGTGAGGCAATAATAAAAATTTCTTGTCAGCTACTGGCTAGCTCAGGAAGTAAAGGATTTTTCTATCTAATTCTTTCACCGTGGTCCAGGTTGTGACACCCATGGCAAGATGACACTAGAAAGAGAGTGTTGTCAGTAATGAAAGCCTAGAAATGCAAATCTCCCATCAGACAAATAAATGCTTCAAGCAATTTAGGTCAGAATTAGGCCCTCCCCCAAACAGTAAGCGTACAGTAAAACCAAGCATTATTTCAAACTTGAATAACTTGGAACACAGAATATTTTACTCAAATCAGAGTTGGGCTGAAATTTGCCATAACTTAAGGTTGCTAAGCAAATTCACAGCAGCACATTAAATCTACTTCAAAAAGCCACCATTTTTAGAGACTAGCTTATTTTAGGAGAAATAATATGTGCTGATAATTACACATTATTTGGCTTGGTGGTTAAACAACATTGTACTTCCACCTGTTATCATAGTTACAATACGTAACTGAAATAAATAAAACTCTATTAAAAAATTCCTGACAGTGCTGACCAGTATATAAATTAATATTTCATGAAAAACAATGCTCCTTAACCTTGCCACTAAGTCAAAGTTGTTGACACCCAGTTTGTTATGCTGAGTGAAGTTTTACTATGAGTTTTAAAGCGTGAGTATAAATCATTTATTAAATCATCTATATCATCCTAGAATTCAAGGCTGTTTCAATATTAGGAAATTTACTAATATAATATACCATATTAAGTGATGGTAATATATCAATAGATGCAGAAAAGAATTCCGTAAAATAATCTCCATTAATGGTAAGAAGTTTTAGGAATTTAGGAACAAAAGAGAATTCCTTACCCTGATAAAATTGATCTATCAAAAGCCTACAGCAAACACTATATTCTTAATGGTAAAATTTTAGAAGCCATTTTTATGACAAATAATAAAAAATTCCTATTATTGCCTTTATTATTTACTATTGTATTGATGGTACTAATACAATTGCCCAGGAAAATGAAGGAAAAAAAAAGAATTGGAATGAAAAGGACAAAAATGTCCTTATTTGTACTTTATATTATGTTATAGCTTTCACAGAAAATTGAAGCGAATTCAGAGACAAACCATCAGTAGAAATATGAGTTACCATCTTTATGCCAAGTAATAACAAGTTAGACAATATGAAAGAATATTATTTATACTTAGGACAAAAACTGTAAGTTATCAAATAAATTTAATTTTAAAATGTTCAAAACCTTCCAGAAAATCATTATTTAAAGATAAAATAGAAGACCTAAATAAATGGAAATATATACTATGTTTGTGTTTGAGAAGACTTAAATGATAAAAATCTTTATTCTCTTTCCATTGGTTTATAATTAAAAACAATTCTAGTAAATGAGGAAAGTGAATCTTGACTAGCTGATCCTACAATTCATGTAGAAGAGCAACAGGCCAAAACCAGCCAAGGCTATATTGAAAAACAACCAAGGAGGCAGGATTTTTGTTAGATTGTTCTATCAACTCTATTATTTAATATGATAATTTTTATAGCAAGCACTGGGTGCTATTGACACAGGGCTATATAGCCCAAGGGATCAGAATAAAGCCTATAGGTATGTATATGGGAACACTGATATTTTTATTAAAAAGTATTATAAATATGCCAGATGATTCAATACATGGTTCTGGGAAAAATTAGCAATTGATTTGAAATAAGAAAATAAAATGGATTCTTACCTTCCACCTTATATAAAATCAAATTCCAGGTGAATTAATGATCAATATGTAAAAAAGCAAAATTACAAATTTTTAGAAGAAAATGTAAGTGAATATATTTATGACTTCAGTGTAGGAAAATATTTCTTTTAAACATACACAAAAAGGTCAACTCATAAGGAGGAAAGATCGATCCATTTACCTACTGCAAATTCACAAAAACGTCTATTCAACAAAAGACATACTAAGCAAAATGGAAGAAAATATTATATACAGGAAGAGTATAACTTCAGTACACAAACCCAAGAAAGGATTAGAATCCAGAACACAAAAACAACTCCTTGAAATCAGTAGGAAAAAAAACACAACATAATTAACAAAACAAAGCAAAACAGACAAAGGATTAGAACAGGCCATTTCCCCAAAAGGAAATCTGAATTGCCGAGAAATAAATGTTAAAGTGTTTATTCCAAGTAATGTGAATTAAGTCAGAGAAATTTGATTTTAAAAAATGAGGTACCATTTCCTAATCATTAGACTAGTAACAATTTAAAAGTATGATACTATGAAATATTAGCTAATATATAGAGAAATGGGAAGTCTCAAACACTCCTTCACCAATGTCATACATTCTTTTTTTAAAAATTTTATTCATTTATTTTTAGAGAGAAGGGAAGGGAGGAAGAAAGAGGGGGAGAGAAACTGATCAGCTGCCCCTGCACCACACACCCCACCACAACCAGGACTGAACCTGCAACCCAGGCACGTGCTCCGACTGGGAATCGAACCTGCAACCTTTTGCTTTGTGGAACAACACCGAACCAGCTGAGCCACACTGGTCCAGGTGGCACATGTTCTTGATGGTTAAAGCCAGAGGTAAAATCTATGGTCTGCGAAACACTTCAGTAGCCTTGTCATTGACCCTCGTTTTTGTTTAAGCTAGCTGGAAAGGATTTCACACAGTTGCAACAAAAACAATGTTAAAACTAAGACTGCATAACAATTCATTGTTTGCATTTGTGGATTGATTATTATTGGAACCTCATAATGACTTTGAACCAATTGTATTTTGTAAGAGTAATGAATATATCGGCTTGCTCTTTCAATGTATGATCATTTTTCATTCATGCGAGTGCTCACTTGCATTTGCTCACCAAAAAATCCTGAGTGCTCCACTATGCAGGAGGCAAGGCAGTAGGAATACAGCCTCCTTGGAGATTTCAGATTTAATCTTAAAAGTTAGAAAATTATTATACATATTTTAATAAATGGGATGTTTTAGACTGCGAGAATAAAAAAAATCAAAGTGACTGAAACAATAGGAAAATCCATTCTCACAGAATTCTAGGTTAGCGATAGGACTGGGGGCGGGAGGGTGCCGCCAGGCTCTGCTCTCACCCTGAAATGCCCTGCCCCCACCTTGCATTGACTTGGTCCTCAGGCTTCGATCCCAGTTCTATCTAATAGAGCAGTTCTTTCCACGTGATGCATGAGAGAGAGGGAGGGGGCGGGGGGAGAGAGGGAAAGAAAATCTTCCAACTTTGGGATACAAGTTCTGCCCTTCATTTTGATGAGGTTATCCATCTTTGGAACATGAAGAGTAGCCAGGAAGGCCACACGCCGAATCAATGTCTGGTGAAGAGCATGGAATTACCAGGTCTGGTTAAGGACAGCAGCTCTCAAACCCATGTGATTCAGAATCCCCCACAGGGCCCGTCCCCAACTCCTTTTTTTTTTTTTGCATTCCTATGT